CACTCCACCCCTGCCCCAGGAAACCACAGTTCTGGTTTTTGTTTTTTTTTTTCACCTGGATTAATTTTATCTTCTCTAGAACTTCAAGTAAATGGAAATTATATAGCAGATACCCTTTTGTGTTTCTTTTGTTCAGCATGTCTGTAAGATTCATCCATGTTGTCGCTCAATTAGCAGTTCATTTATTTTTCTTAATGAGCAGTATTTCATGCTATGAACATACCATTATTTATTTGTTTTCCAGATTGGAGCTGTTATGAATAAAGCTGCTATGAATATTCATCTACAAATTATACTATGGTTGTAGTTTTCATTTCTTTTTGGTAAATACTTAAAGGTAGAATTCTTGCACCTGTAGAATAGTTACATGTTTAATTTTATAAGAAACTATCAAAACATTTTAGAAATAGCTGTAATATTTTACACTTACACCAGCCATGTATAGAGTTTCCATTGTTCCACATCCTCTGATATTTCGATCTTTCTCTGTTTTAGCCATTGGATATGAAGTGGTATCTCATTATTGTTTAATTTGCATTTTCTTAATGACTAATGATTTTGATCATTTCTTTCATGTGCTACACATTTGTGAAATATATCAATCTTTTGCCTAGTTTTTAATTTTTTAATATACTCATTGAGATATAGGAGTTTTTTTTTACTGCATTCTGGATACAAGATTTATATGAGACATATATATTATAAATATTTTCTCTGTGGGCTTACCTTTTTATTTATTTAAAAATTTTTTTTTCCCGTTTTTACTTTTATTAGCATTTAGTTGATGCTGAATTTACTCCCGGGCCATAAGTTTTTATTTCTTCAGTTTCTTCTGGGATATCTTTTTATTCTGTGCAACCTCCTCTTCCGGTTTAGAAACAATCTGCCCTTTTTTGGTAAGAATCACCTCAGCGTAACAGGCAGAGCTCATGGAGGGGTTCGTCCGCGCACCAGCTCTAAGTTCCATACTGCATCTTGGGACCGTTGTTCACTTGGATGTGCTCGGTGACCAGAGTCTACAGCTAAACCCTTAAGTTCAGCATCACTCTCTGCATTTTTAAGCATGTGCAGCAAAGATTCAGCACTCTTTTTGGGCCACCAACCCTGCATCCAATCCCATTGTTTGGCCTGGGCACACCTACCAGCTCCACCATTGTAACAATGGAGTGGCACATGCATTTTTCTGTGAAGTGACATCCTTCAGTTACTTGGTCACTTTTTGGATATGCATACCTTGATGACCTGGGCAGTTTCACAAGTGCTGTTAAAGTGAACAGGAAAATTTGAACCTCTTTGTTTGCATGATTTTGTGGGGTTTTCTGGGTCAAGTGAATAGTGAACCATTTTGAGAGGTCAGCTGAGGCCACTCCAGGAAGAGCACATTTTTATTTTTGAAAATATCTTTTGAATAACAGGAGTTTGTAATTTTGATAAAGATCAATTTTAGCAATTTTTTTATATTGTTAGTGTTTATGTAGCCTGCCTAAGAAATCTTTTTCTAACACAAGTCCACAAGATTTTCTTCCATGTTTTCTTCTAGAATCTTTATAATTTCAGCTTTATGTTTAGGTCTATGATGCATTTAAAAATACTTCTGGGTAGAGTATGAAGTAGGCATTGAGGTTGGTTTCCACATAGATATCTAGTTGGTCCAGCACTATTTGCTGAAAAGATTATTCTTTTTCCAATATGTCCTTTGGCACCTTTGTAAAAAATCAATGTGTTACATATGCTGGTCTGTTTCTGGACTTCCTGTTCTTTTTCACTGATCTGTTTACTTGTGCCAGTACCATAGTCTTGATTATTGTAGCCTTATACTACGTCTTCAAATCAGCTAGTGAAAGCCCTCCAATTGTATCTTTTTCCCAAAAATATTTTGACCGTTTTAGGTACTTTGGATTTCCACATACAACTTGGAAACGGCCTGTCTATTTTTACCTAAAAACTGCTGGAATTGGGATTGAGGCTACATTGACTCTATAGATCAATTTGGGGACAATTTATATTTTAACAATATGAATCTTCCAATCCGTAAACATGGTATATCATTTTATTCAGGTCTTCTTTAATTTTTTAGCAATGTTTTATAGTGTTCAGTGTTGAAACTTTGCATCTCTTGTTGAATTTATTCCTAAGTATCCTATATGTTTTTAGATTATTGTAAATGAAAATATTTAAACTTAATTTTCTTGATGTGTGTTGCTAGTTTATGAAAATACAATTGATTTTATTTATTGTCTTTATATTCTCTTAAAAACTCTTCTTATTAAGATTTAAGAAGGAGAATGATAAACTACAAAAGAGTCCTGGTATATATAAATAAGAAATGAAAAAGATCAAGAGACACTAGAAATGATTCTAAATCAATAATTTTAGAATGTATGTTATGAGAAAACAGTACCATATTAGTTAACTACTGCTGTATAGCAAATCATTTCAAACTTCGTGCCTTAAAATAATACACTTGCTGTTATATCACTATCTTTTGAGTTAGCCAAGTGGTTCTTTTACTTTCACCTGGGCTTACTAATACAGATACATTAAGTTGTATCTTTGTTTCAGAAACATATATGATACATACTTTATTCTATCTGTGAATGAATAAGTTTACTGGAGAAAATAATTTTGACCATAAAAAATCTATTGAAAAGAGCATAAATAATTTATTTCTCATACAATATTAGAAATAACCAGGTACTTCTAAATATATTCACTTGCTATTTAATCTAAAATATGAATACTTCCTAATTAATTATGATTCATAAAAAGTTAAAAGATAAAAAGAAAGTTTAAAGTATTTTATTTACTTTTAAAATAACTTTAACTCATCACAGAATCAATAAGAAAAGAGTTGTGTAAAAAGAGGCAGTAGTAGTGTTTGTGCACATTAAAGTATTCTTTGTTTAATAGTAGATAAGAAGGAAGTAATTTTTAAATGGAAGGTTAATAATGCATAAATACACATATATTTATTCCAAAACTTTTAATATATAATGGTCCATGACTGATTCTTTTCTGCATCAAAATTTTTCCTTTACTGTTCTTTATCTTAGTAATATCTAATCCATTTCTAAATACAGTCCATTGACCCTCCTTTATTTTCTTGGACATTTCTACTTCATTTCAGATTCCCCTGTTCAGTCATCAGTTATCTCTCTCTCGGGCAATAGCCTTCTCATCAATTTCCCAACATTTACTTATGCCCTCCACCCATTATTCCATACTGCAGCCAGGGTGATTTTTTTTTTTTTTTTTACTAACGCGCATCTAACCATGCCATTCTTGTTATGAAAACAATTTAGGAGAATCTCACTGCCGTCAGTGTAAAGTAGAAAATCCATACTATAGTCGGATAGACCCTGCTCTTGCCTACTTCTGCAGGGTCTATGCCACTACCACCCCCATCTCCCCACAGCCTCACCTCCTTTAAACTGCTACTATTCATTGAAATTTACAGACCAAACTGTCACGCCCTTGCCCATCAGGGCCTTTTTGCATGAACCACACTTTACTTACTTTCTAGCCAACTTTTTCTCATTCTTCAAGACCCAGTTCAAATGTCATTTTATTCTGGACGCTTTCCCTTAACTTCAAGACAAGGTCAGCTCTTTCTTTTTGCATATACATAGTATACTGCACTTCTTTGTAAAGCTAGCCTCACCTGTAATTATGTGTTCAATGTCTGTCTTCCTAACTGAAATATGTTTCCATAAGGATATAAATTTCCTCAACAAATTCATTAAGCTGCTTATTTCTGTCTGTAGGAATGATGATTTCCTTTATGTATTATGTGCAGACCAAGTACAATATCTGTTCTCAATATATGTTAATAAGTAGTAATCATAAAAGTACTTGTCTCAGCCCAGCATGGTTTCAGCAAACATGTATTACACTCCCGAAATCAGTGTGCCAAATGAAAAGTCACTTCAGCTGTCTCAGCATGGGAACTTAAGTATTTACTCACTTGGGAAAGAAATGGGCATAATTTAACCAGAATAGTGGAGTGTCTGCTCCAGAGAGGTCTTGGGCTGAAGCAGTTGGAACCTTAATCTCACAAAAAATGACAGGGTCTTGGCGGAGGTGAATAGGGAATCTTGCCCAACACTTGACCACACCAAACTGGCTTTAGTCAAGCCCTCACATTTACATGTACCAAAACCTACATGCTTCTTCATTTAAAAAGGGTAAGGGTACCTTAATTGTAAACAAAACAATTTTATGGCAGACTAAATTGTTTTAGAATTACCCTGTTTAAATTATCATTTGTAAATTGAAAAATTCATTTAACTGAGCAGTTAATCACATCTTCTTAGGACTTGGTATTTTATGAGCTGCCCTTTGTTAAGAATGGCGTTTGAGCAGCTCAACAATGAATGCATGGTGAATTGTCAATAAGGTGAGGAAGAGAAGTACTTTAAGATAACCTAACATGAAATCACAAAGTTTATGTGGCAGAATGCTTGCATAAGTGTTGAGATAGGGCTCTACAAAACGCTGTGACTTGTTCTGGGAAATAACAGGGCCCCAGCTAAGAGGAACTCCAGCTGCAATCCAAATGGGGATATTTTCATATGTGAAGTGCTAAATGATCATTTAGTAATCTTGCAAGCAAACCACAGGAAATCCACAAATTACTACAACAGACTTTGTTTGTGTTGACACTTATGTACACAATCAAATAGGCTTTTCTCTAAGTGTCTCCATTAAAGGCTTGCTTTCAAAAAAGAAAAATGTTCCTTGCAACTAGCTATAGGAACAAAAAAATAAACAAACAAGTTACTGTACTAATCAGCTATATAAACAAGTGATGAATGAGAACAAATTGACACAATTTACTCATTTTCTTATAAGTAAATGGATAGTACCAAGTCGGATCATTTCTGGAAGTAAATGATACATTTTCCTTATGATACTAAGGAACCACTAAATGAAATACTGCTACAATATACTACATTACACTTAATCATCTTTATGGTACTCTAGTTTAATTTCTGAGAGGCTATGCCGTATCACTTTGTAAGAGAATGGAGATCTGTCTTAAATATTCAGTGTTTATTTCATATTGGCTAGACATTGAGACTGAGTGTGATGTCTAAAGAGATTTTTAAAGAAAACTGGCTATGTCTGAAGTATTTGTTCTCTATTTTGACATTTTCCCTGGAGGCTGAGTAAAATTTCTAATTGCTTAATGACTACTAGGATAATTAACTGTCGTTTATTGAATTGACATCCTTCAGAGTTAGTATGGAACCTAGGTTCTATTTCAGTTATGTGTTAGGGACTAGTTTTTGGAATTTTGAGCCTAGTGTATAACAATCACTAGAACTAAACATTTACCCCATGCCTGTCAGACTATTAAGAGAATAGTTATAAGGAGGAAATGGCCCCAGAACAAGTTCCAATGGTTTTTAGAATAATACTAAAAGCCAATGAAATGTTGTAGAGATGTCAATTTGGGGGACAGGATACTCTAAATGTAGAACTAGATTTGTGCAATATTGTAGTGAGGGTATCCAGGAGCTTGGTTTTTAATCTGTTCTCAACAGACTCTCAATTTCTTGAAATAATTCCTGAAAGAAAAGAAAATGATAATAGACATGTTCTTATTAGTTTAATGTCTCTACGCCCCTTCCAAAAACCTCATGTCCTCAGAACATGGCTTCTACTAGGAGACTTGAAGTCAGTTTCTGGATTTACTGGTACAGGCTACTTGCCACTAGGAATTTGAGAAATTCAAAGGAGATGTCTCACCAGGAACTCAAGAAATGGAATTTTAGGTGTGGTTAGTGAATGACTTAAATCTGCTTTAGTAGACCTCCTTGGAGACAGAAAAATGTTCTTTATGGTTCCAATGGGCTCAAAGCCACACAGTACTTTCCCTTCCATAGTATACTTCCTCACGGCTCTAGAATGAGTATGCGGCAGGATGGAGAGTTGCTGGAATTCGTATGTCAAGTTCATAACCGTGAGGTGGTAAAAACTCTGCTTTTGCATTCCTATAGAAAACCACTGAAATCAATCACCTTCAGGGAGGCAATTGAGAATGATACAGGCTCAGAATTGACTGGGTCAAATTCCTGAGGGAATTATTGATCACAAAGAATTACTAAAAATCTTAGACTTGAGGGAACATTAAACAGGTCCCAAATTTATTATAGTATACAAGAATCCCCCTGTATTTTTGTGATTAGTGAAGCTAAACAGGCTGAAGTGGACCAAAAGATAAATACAGCCGCCCTGCAGGAACACTGCAGATGAATGAGCCCAAACCCCAGATCTGGAGAAGATTCGAGGAGAAGGGAATGAGGCAAGGCTGACTCAGCTTCTTAAAGGAGGATGCTTTAAAGTGAGGCTTCTGACCCTAAGAAGCCCCTGTCTTGCCAGAGGAGTGCCAACCAAAGTAGGGAGTACTAATGCTTATTTAACTCCAGTATGATTTTCTAGCTACTCGACTTCCTACATTTTATGGCACTCAGAATGGGAGGAAATCTTTTTCTGGGCCACTTCTGATTCCCCAACTCTTTGGTAGCTTGGCTTGGTCCCGTGCTGTAGGTCATCAATGGTCAAGTGCCTGTGTAATAGAAAGCATTCTGTGAAATTACTTTCATCCTCATGTTATGAAAACAAAGACCCTTAGTATACGATGGGCATTAAAACTCTATTGCTGATACATTTCCCAATTTTCTAGGAGAAACTTAAGTGGACATATGCATGGTACATTTTGCCGAGTGCCTGGTGGGAAGCCTGTCTGGCCCAAATGAAGAACAAGAAAAGCAATTTGGAATGGGATGAGTGATAGTGGTGAGTTGTGCAAACATGGCATTCTCCTCTTGGTAGTGGTACATATGATCTAATGGGGCTAAGGATAATAGAGAAGATAGAATTACTTTGCAAATATCAATAGCTTCCCTCACCTCTTTGTTTTATTCTAAGGATAAAAAAATTCTTACCCACGTGAATCTCATTTTCATTGCTGAATTTGGGTGTTAGGGTAATTCTTATGAGAAAAGCTGTCAAAGTGCAGAGCGAGAATAAACTTGATAGAGGGCTACATTCAGCATGGACAGTCTCTGAAGACAGCTGGAGCTGTTGGTAAGGGACTGTAGAAGGTTGCCTCTTCTGGAAAGAGAAAGATGATAGAGAAAGGGTGTCAGTGGGAGAACCACGTTAAGGGACCAAGTCGAGTATTGTAAAGAGATGAGGAGTAAGAAAATTATCCAAAAAAAGAAGAAGAAGAATGTTATGTCCTATGACTTGTATTAAGTATACACTATTTGTTTTTAGGCATTTTCCCCACCAAGAGACTTAGTAAAGATTCCAGTTGCTTTTATTTACTGTTTGAGAGTAGGCCATTTGGGGACAGGGACTCAACTATATTTAGATTATAACTAAATAATATACTGATTTAGAATATTATCTATTTATTAGCTAAATTACTTCTTTTAGCTCTTTATTTTATATTTTGATAATACACTTTCCTAAGTAACAATAAATCTGGAAAATATTTTACAAATGTATTTTTAAATCAACAAAATAATAAAGTTCTAGCCGGGTATTACCAGGCTTCCTGCCAAGTACAGTAATTGTTACTTGTGGAATTTTCTTAGAATGGCCAAGGCATTTGACTAAATAACTATAACTCTGGAATGAGTAGCTGGGTGGAGACATTAGTCTGTTGGAAAGTTGGTGGGTTAGTTCAAGCCCATATGTTGGAAGAAGAGATTTATCTATGGATTCACTTAGCAGAAAAAACAAGATATATGTTTTCTTCAAACTGAACTTTGAATTTTATTAACCTATGCTATGGGGTCCCCTTTTCTCTTAACCTGTTGTTTGTTCTTTTTTCCTTATTCCTCTTGTTTTTTGTTTGTTTGTTTGTTTGTTTTTTATACTATTGTAATAATTCGTTTATTAAATTATACTCTTTTGGATATATAAGCACAAAGACCACACTCAGATCATGCTAAGAAGAGGACTGGAAACTGCAAAGCTATGAGGAACTGAGGCGATGATAGGGACCACAGGGTACAGCATCACTGCTCATGTAAGGATACTGAACACATGGTTCTCAGCCACGGTGTCCAGACCCAGGCTTTGACAATCATCTCTCAGTGAATTTGAGTTGAAATTGAATTTCCGTGTTGTTCTTTCCAAGTTGACAATATGTGGAACAAATGTATAAAAATGCAGAATATAAATGTCAGTAAATAAATTGCAAATGGTGTACCCTAAGGGCAAAAGTTAATTTTAAAAAGTTTATTTGTAAATGCGCTGGTTTATCTCCAAAGCATTAGTTAGGATGTGCCCAAATGTAGAGAGCAATTAAGTAATAATAGTTTTAAATTTTAAATAGTGTTTCACTGCTATGCATTTATTAGGTTCTAAAAGTGATCACAATACCTTTAGTTTCCTCCCTATTTTTATTTCAATCCATTGACTATAAGTGTGCACAATCTATTTTTGCTTTTAAAGCTCAAACCATTAACGTAAACAATTAAAAAGTATAAAGTTTTTCTCTTTGATTAATGCATACCTGAAAAACACTAAACCATGAGATGTGCTTGTGCAGATCTCATCTGAGAATTTACAGATACTGACTTTATTCACAAGCCGGTCTGCTGCTGTGTGGAGTCTTCAGTGTGCCGCTGGGCTCTCATCCATCTATTTTTCCCTTGCACATAAGTCACTTTAATATTTAATATTTTTGAAAATTACCTAATCAGGATATAATTTGCCTTGTTTATCAGTTAATGCAAATAAAAAGATCTATACATTTTCTAAGAAACAGATAAAACAAAAAAATTACTTTGTTATATCTATAGTATTTGAAATATTTCCTTACCCCTTCCAGTGAGACATGTGAAACTTTACCCTAAAACTTCTTTAAATAAACTTAAACATTATGTGAAGGGATATTTATAGAATCTCTCAGTTCACAAATCCCTAGAAGTTAATTTGCTTTCCTTAGAATTCAGCCCTTGACCAACCACATAGAAAAGGAAACTCAAGAGCTAGTACAGGCCCAACTCATTGGAAGTTAGCTGGGAAAAACATTGTGCTTGCACTGATTTTAAACTCAGAATGCAGCTTATTAACATTTCGTAAATTGAAGCATCCAAGAACCACATTTATTACTAATCCAAGAATAAATGAGGTCACTTTTTTCAAGCTTATTAGAATTTTCCCCTGGGATTTTATGGGAGATGTAGCCCCCTCATGTGACTTCCCGAACTGCAGAGGTGAGAAAACTAAAATCTACACCTCACAGAGACCCCAGAAGCTAGGATTCAAGAATTAGGGTGAAGGGTTAAAGAAGTACAAATCAGTAGTTGATAGTCAATGGGGATGAGGAGCATGGCATAGGGAATGCAGTTAGCATTAATGTAATGGCCAGGTGGAGAGCCAGAGGAGAGAAAGAGCAATTAGAAGGATCATTTTATAAACGATATAATTGTCTAACCAATGTACTATATACTTGAAACTAATTAAAATTAAATTAAATTAAAATGAATTAGGTTCTGTAATCAGATGGCGGTAAACAAAATTTGAAAACAGCATAAGGCAGAAATTCTTTAGTTTCTTCTGATTTCGTTGGCAAGCATAGTTGTACAGGAATTGGATTCTCTGCTGCAGAAGAGGCCCCCCAGGTTGTTTAGTAGCTTTGCAGTGCTGGGGTGTAGTACAGAGCCTAGAAGGTGCAGGGTGGCTCTGGAGCTGACAGCTGCACCTACCAGACCCCTGGATTGCACTAAGTAAGTGTTCCCAGAGCAATAGTTTCAGGGACAACTTCCAGATTCCCAACCTTTGTAAATATGGTCAACGTAGCAGCTTCCGTGGTGGGCTAGTGTTACAGAATTGTTCTGAAATCATTTCTGGAAGCCAGAGTTCAGGTCTCCATCTTTTTCAATGATTTTATAAGGACCAAATCCCTTGATTTAAATTGTTTTCATCTTAAACAGTGTTTTCTCTTATCTGTGACTGAATCCTGATTGATAATAGTGTTTGAGGCAGTAGATTAGGTATTTAACCTGCTGAGATTCAAAGAAAGTGAGCATCGACTAAACATTAACTGATGCGATAGTAATAATCTCTGACAGCTGGTGGTGAAAGAGGTACTTAAGTTACAACTCGTATTACTTGGTCTGAGTGCCTATAGAAAGCATGGCTTTAGTAACTGAGTGATAAGGGCCATCGCACAGTATGAGGACCCGATAACTAGGTAAACTGGCTGCTGCAAACTACACTGGAAAGTTTAAAAAGAGAAATGAGAAATTCAGGGCTTTAAATTGTCCACACAGTGTGGTTAGAGAACCAGGGAATTTTAAGCCTTAAACGAAACTTCTTTCTTGAAGCTGTTGGTAGCCAGAAATCACTGAGTCTGACTCTATGGCTTGTTAAATTACAACACAGGTCAAATTCAAAGACTTGCCAGGTTTCTTATGTGAAAATGCATTGCTTGGGAAAATGTAAGATTCTGAGATGTAGAGAGGTGATCCTTGGGAGGATTTGGAAAATTCTGCTTACCCCAAAACTATACCCACTGACTCTCTCATGAAAGCAAAAATAGTCCCTCCTACCCCAAGTTGTAGTCTTTCTCTGCTTTAAAAACCTGTGGTGAGATTTGCTGATGTAGTCACCTTACCTGGGGATACTAATTTGCCTCATGTTCCATCTTACTTAAAACATTTTTTCCAGGCCCATACATAAAATCTGATCCCAGATACCACAGAGCCCTAATTACAAAGCCACACCTGAAAGCGAAATACTTCGCACTTCAAAACATTGCAAAATTTTACTAAAAGAAGTAAATGTGCCGATTCTCACAAGATTTGTAGATCGTACCTTGTACCTCATTGCACAGGAGCAGTTGGCCTCATAGATTGAAATGGCTTATTGAAGACAGCACTTATGACACTAGCTGGAAGTCAACTCCTGATAAGTTGGGGTCCACCTAGAAGATGAAATATGTTCTATACCAGTGGCCAATGTATATTTATATGGGTCTGGGCAGAAAAAAAGTGCAATTGAGAATAGCACTGTTCATGGTATGTTGACGGTTTTGCAAAACTGTTGCTTCTTATGACCAGGGGATGCAAAGCTCTGATTGGCCAGGTCTAAGTTCCATGTCAGTCGTCAGCACCAAGCATAGACAACTCAAAACAAATGGTTTGAGGATTGGGAAAATGGTAGTTCTCTAAAGGAGTATTCAGTCTGATTGCCAGAAGAAGGGAAAGGGATGCTAGGTAGCAAAACTACAACTGACATGTCATCTAGGAAGCCATTGCCCCGAGTATGCTATGTATCATCAAAATGCATGAAAAATCTAGCGCAAGCAAGCCATTACTGTTGTTATAGATGAGTCCTTTCAAAAATAGCAAACACTTTCTACTTAGGGTAATTTCTTCATTATAAAGATGAGAGATTAAGTAATCTGCCTACAGTGGTAGAAATGGGACTTGATACAGAGCTGCTTGACCTCAAACCCCCTACTTTTTTTAAAGAAAAATAAGTAAATCATGCATATACTACAAATTCAAAAGGTAGACTTAAAAGATACATAGTGAAAAGTGAATTTCACTTTTACTACTGTCCCTTAGATACCAGTTTACCTGAGTATCTGTTACCAATTTCTTGTGTATCCCATATATGTATGTGTGTATGTGTGTGTGTATATGTGTGTATGTCTATGTTATATACATATGGATACGATTATACGTAAATATCCTAAAAACAGAAATATAGTATCAAAATTATTTTGTTTTTTTAATATATCCATTTACCTGTCTTGGCAACCATTACATATCAGTACAAGTATAGTGTCCTTGTTGGTTTCGCTAATGTCTACACAGTGTTTATTATCTCTATAGAGTTTTATTTGCGTAACTAGCCTTACATATATATATACTTAAATTCTATCCAATCTTTTGCTACTCTAAAAAATGCTGCAATGAATATCTTTGTATATACAGCTTTTAGCTCATATTCAAGTATATATGAAGGATAAATTAATTTTCATTTCCAGTCTTGTTAAGTGTTCATATCCCTTGTCTTGAGGATTATTAGTCTTTTCAATTTGATTTATGTTAGTTAATTATGTATTAATGGAATAGGCTTTTAAAATTTTCCTTGTGCGTTGCAAATATTCTTCTTTGTTTACAGTGCTGTTGTTCTAGGCAGAATTGTATTTTCAGTTTGTTTATGTTTTTTTGCTGTTGTTTTTAAAAATATCGTATTCTTTTTGGTATAAAGAATGAGATTGGGATCCCACTTTATTTTCCTTTACAGATGACAAAACTTCCCATTTCAATGACAGTGCAATATTGTCTTTCTGAGAAGATGCTCAAAGATAATATCTTAATAGTTCTATCTGCCATGTGTCCCTCAGTCCAGTAATTTATAAGCACCTTTCACCTATTTCCTCAGTCAGATCTTGTTTGTTTGTTTTATTGAGATATAACTGACATGTAACATTGTGTGAGTTTAAGACTTACAGCATGATGACTTGATGCATGTTGTATACCTTAAACTTATATAATGTTACACGTCAATTCATATATTGCATAAAATGTGAACTTCAGCCTCAGAGAGGTAAAGTGATTTCCAATGCCACATAGGCAGTAAGTGAGGAAACGCTGGAACAACTCTACCATGCTGACTGATGGAGAGGGTGAAGGCTGGAGGCAGTGGTTGGGGCCTCAGAGGTGAGAAGCCTCAGAGGTGAGCAGGCTGGGATGGAAGGAGGATAAAAGGACAAGGGGACTCTGCCACACAGGTAACTTGGAACCTGGGCTGGTTCCTCGTAGGGTGCCTCTCCCCACAGCCAGCTCTTTGCACCCGCCCCAGGGACAACCCCAGTGTAGAGAACAAGCTGGGGTGGGTACAGCAGGACAGAATGTGGGGACTCCTTTTCTTAAGGCACTGAGGTAGCTCATTTGAAGAGAATAAGTAGAATGACTGGTCAGAGGGAATGCAGTATCCTACCATTCCCACCAGCTAAGCAGCCCTTGGGCCAGCTCCCAGCTAGAAGATGAGGATTTCATCCAGGTCCACGAGGGGTAGGGAGACCAATAAGAAAAGCCTGGGCCTTGCATCTGCCTGGACAAACTCCACTCTGACCTGCACATCAGCCCCCTACACAGACTCCTTTTAGATACATGGATCAGGCTGACGGTCTCACCACTGCAACCTGTCAGAGAGGGAAGGAGCCAGAGGCAAAGGCTAGTATGAGATGGCTTGGAGCCTCGAGAATTCTGCCTTCTGTCTATTCATCTTCTGGGTATTTTCCCCAAGACTCAGCTGGTCCTGAGTGATCCTGCCAATGAATGGCTCAGGTAGCCAGTGACCACATGGAAAACCTTGCCTGTTGTTTTGACACTGGTGACTCTCAGGAAGATGGCAACTGTTTAAAAGGATTGTATGCACTTCTGAGATTTTATGTACCTAATCTTTTAAAAATAAGCCCTAGATATTTTTTAAAGCACGTCACCTAGTTTGAACTTGACAAAGTGCATGAAAGCAATTTTTAAAAAATTGTGGGCCTCTGAGTATAAGTACAGATTTTTGAGAGAATCTACTTGAAACTCTTGAAATTTGTATTTTATCACAGATATGTTGTTTCAAGAACTTGATTATTAGATAATTAAGAGTTGTATCTAAAAACAAGATTTTTACCTGGATTTAAAATCAAATAAATATATAGACAAAATGCCTCAATGTTGATTAATAACAAGATATCTTAGAAAAATATATGTAGTATTGTGCACTCAGCTTGGTGAATCAAGTGTACTTTTTATAGTAATTCATAATACTTTCTGGATTCTTATCAGGTACAATAAAAAATGTATTTGCTCTTTAACCCCTTTCTACCTTAAATTTAAAAATAGAAAATTAGAAAAGTAATCACTGTTACTATTAAGAGAAAATGACATTTGTGCTTCAATTTGGTAAATTAATTTATGCAATTAAGGAGGCATAGTGGAGGCAGACACAGATTTAAGAGTCAGACACAGCTAGTACCAATTCTACTTCTTCCACTAATTGCTGTGCACTTAAGGATAGTTACTGAACATCTCTGAGCCCCCACTGTCTTTTCTTCTATAAGATGAGGATAATAAAAACTGTCCTGAAGGTAGTTGAGAGGATAATGGCACCTAGGGGTCACTCAATAATGCTATTGTTTATTATTATAATTAACATGAAACGCGAACTGTCAGCCTAGATCAAACGTACTTCCTTTCAATAGGCAATAATTAGGTTTCTGAAAGCTGGTTACAATTACTATAATGTAAATTAAACCAAAATCTCCTTGAATTATAGAGATTTTCTTTTATCTAATGGAATAGAAACAGTTCGGAATTTGTAGGTGACTTTATAGTATAAAATCCTTTGTGGATGGAAACATTACCCCCGAAATTGAACACATTTTGTGTCCCCCAAGCCAGTCTCTCAGCCATACTCTGCCACGATGTTATTATTTCTAAAATACTGGAAATGGGAGCCACTTTCAGGCTAAAATTAAGACATAATGGTTTTATTTTGGAAAAATCCATTCATCAATATGTTTTTCTCATGGCTATAAAAAGTATTTAAAAATGAAACAAAATAAAGTAGTAAAAAAATCTTGGTATGTATTTTTTCCTTGGATAATGAGGTGCTCATTCAAGTCCTCTTGGAAAAGGTTATTTTGTGCTCTGGTTAAGGTGGCCTACTTTCTTTTTGTGTTGAAGAGCTTTGAAATTAGAACTTATTTGTATTTTCCCAGGGAGTGTCCACTTTGGGAAGAAAGAAAATTATATGCCTGAAGAATATGGTTGGCCAATTTATTGTTGTTTATGTCTATGCTAGGCCTGAAAGGAAATACATAGAATTCAAGTTCCATTTTTTTTTCCTGGGAAATATAGTGACCCATTTTGTCTGATGATAGAATATTCTTTCCTCTGTTTTAGTGTGCTCAGAAATGAATCCTTTGAACCTGAATTCTTTGAGCTTGAATTCTTTGAGCTCACAATTTGAACCAAACCACATACTTGTGTAAGAAATGAAGGAAAGAAAACAAATCAGAAATTTTTTTCTTACAAAAAGGTTTCAATAAATATATGAGTGTTTCCTCTTCTGAACAATTGCTTAAACACATTTTAATTCCTCTGAAGTGTGCATTTTGAGAAACTGTCTATAAAAATAAATTCTTCTCTCTGAAATTATATTCGTATGGACTTGTTCTTGTGTCCTGCATGGGAAAATGAGTATCTCAGCCACCTGGGATATTATATAATACAAGACTGTCATCTAAAAGAATGTGTAATCGCAATTATCCTTAGATCAAAAGAATTTTTCAGTGGACACATAAAATAAATTGATTTGTAAAGTACAGATAGTAGAGTCCAAGAGAAATCTTTAGAACATTATGTTGGCATAATTATTTCATTCATTTGTGCTAGATGCCCTCTTCTGGTCACTTGGAGTAATGTTCAGGAGCTTATTCTTTCTAGTTTCTGCTTTGCTATGAACATAATATATGCAACTGCACTTATACTCCCTGGTAGGCTTCCTATATGAGGAAAGAAATCTGAAGATAAGTGACTTTTAATTTTACAAGAGTTGGAGTCTTATTTCCCTCCTTCACCCTAGCACTTCTGAGTATCAAGCAATGTTTGGTTAGCCTTGTACGGTGGGATATTTTTGTTTGTTAACTGCTGTGCTCTTCTCTTTTTCTCGTACCCTCACCACCAATCCATGGAGATCCTGCATATGACTCTATTTGTACAAGACAGGGGTGATGTGTGGAACAGGAAGCCAGCCAAGACCTCAGCAGATCAGTGAGTGAACATCTTCCTCTCCTCGTGCTCATTCACACCACCGCAGCATTTGTGTAAGCCCCAGAAGCATCAAAGCCCAGGGAAAGGGTGGCCCTCCAATATGACTGTGTTCAACCTAAATAAGTGTGAAATCACTGAATTTTACTAATTTCACCTTAAGTTTTTGGCATCAGGTAGAATGGGGGGTCTCAGAACCAGAAATTATGTGAAATTTATTACTGAAAAATGATGTCTTCATAAGCCTGTTTAAAAACTGATTGAATTAGGAACTCTCATGCCTCGTGACTTCAATAGTAAAACACAATTTTCGATCACAGAGTTGAGTATATCAGAGTTGAGAATGACTGCAGCTGTCTCCTAATACAGTTTCTAGTCTAGGATACGCTTGAACTTTCAATTCCCTCTTGAGAGGATGAGGTAAACGTATTCCCTCAGACCAAGAACAGACTTGCTTACTATTTGTTTAAAAAGCAGTGGGTTCTCCAAGTTCAGTGTTCTGAAGCTGTGATGCAACCCACTCTATGCATGGAGTTCATGCTGGTGGGGCTTAGGGACAGGAAGAACCAGTGTCAATACGGTGATGCTCATGTACTTGTGCTGTGAGTAACAGAGTCCTGCAATTCAGACTCAGGAGTCTCGGGCGTTTAGCCAGCACTCATGAAACGACAGCGGGCTAATTTATTAGCTTGTAAGTAGGTTAAAATAAAATCCCAGACCTAACAATAGCCTCCCCACCAAGGTGTAAATATTTTTGTACTGCACTATTCTACAATTAATATTTTATCTTTTTTATATGTTAATTAATATCTTATTGAGTTATCTCAGTTTGATGTTAAGCTATTTATGGAAATCAATTTTAAAATATTCAATATGAAAGCAAAATTTTAATAAGGCATGCTATATGCCTTACTCTTTCAAACAAGAAAATAGCTAAAATCCAGCATAGATTTGATAAGTATCTACTTCCTGCTCTAAGATTTTGAATATGAAGCTATTTATTTACGGCAGTGCTTATCATATTGTTTCTGGTATATAGGAGGTGCTCAATTAATATTTGTTAAATGAATTAATGAAGAGAAATATTCTAAATTTGTTAACTCTATGATGATGAGCCTAAGATAATTTTTTCTTAAAAATGACTACCATGTGTAAATTACAAGTAATGATTGGAATGGTTATACAAAAGGGCTTATTATTTTTAAATTGCTTTTATTTAAATTAGATGCATGCTGTTCCAATGATCTTTTCAATTCTATTTTTAAAAACTGAATTAGAAACCTAAGTATAATATGCCTAACTGGAAGAGAAAAAAGGGCTTTTTATTATGGAAAATTTCAAACATAAATAAAAGCAGAGAGAATACTATAATGAGCCCCCAGGTACCCACCACCCAGCATCAGCAGTTATCCATCAAGACCTTGTAGCCCCTGCTCCTCCTCCGCTGGATTCTTTTGAAACAAATTCATGAGGGTATGTCAATTATCTATAAATATTTGAGAAGAAACACATTTTTTAATGAAAAAAATAAAATTTTCTGGCAAAAATGGATGATTGGCATGAACTGAGTATTTCTAAACAAGGTGGACCATGGCTGGAAGTGTTATTTCCCACTAAACAGAGTACTCTTACATCTTTGGTGTGGTCAGCATTAACCTCTACTGAAGCACAGACATATTTTAAAGCTTTCCTTACTTTTTCTTTTTTTTTTGCTTTGGATTTGTATCACTGAATTTAAAATGTATTAATGACAACTAGATCTAAGCTAATAATCAATAAAACCATTTCTACTTTAAATACAGGTTTCCATCAGAAATAAGACTATTTTCCAGTTACAACCACTTTCGGGATAAAATTGCTAATACTTGACTTATATGATGGAAAGTCTATGTAAAGCACACTGATTGGTTCCCCCAGCTTGCTGGATGTTTGTGGCCATCAGGCTGTTCTCCAGTCTGCCAAGCTCCTACCAGGTGAGGCATATGTTTACTTATATAACAGTTGTATTTGTTCCCAAACCTATTTATGCTAGTTGTACTTACAACTTTAAATGAGTAAATTATTACATGAATTAATGAAATATGAGTGAAAAAAGGCAAAATAGTTGTTTCTATGAACATTAAGGTAAAAGCTTTTAAAAGACTTGACAGAGACATCACTAAAACTTGCTATTCAATTACATGCAGACAATTACTATAAAAAATTAAGAGAAGGGAGAATCATTTTACTCTACAAGGATTTTACACTCATATTTCTTTACAGTATCTTCAAAATCTCACTCCAACCTAAAGAAGTGAAAATTACAAATTATAGATAATGAATGATGAAGTTATTTATTTTTTTAAAAGAACCAGCATGTATTTAATCATTTGACCATTAGGTGTACATCAAAATATTGTGAATAAATGTGCATTCATTTACACAATGGTGAATAAATATGTATTTTTAAGTTGAAATTAAAAAGTTAAAGGTAAGTGTAGTTTTTTAAGAATAAGTGTTTAGCTGATTTTTTGATTAATGACCAACTGTCAATCCAGATTACATCAAGATATCTACTGTATGTGACGGTTAGAATCTACTAGTTCAAAACTAAGTATGAATTCTATTTTCATAAATAATTCTTTCTAGAATTATTTCTAAGACTAATAGAATAGGAGACTTGTATAAACTTTCCTTGTGTGTCTCTGTCATGTACATATTCATGTTTGAAAAGGAGTCAGAGTGAGAGTAATTCTCTTGTCCTCCCTCTGTGAGAGAAAGTGTGAGAAGATGAAGAGCATCGTTGCTCAGAGAGGGGAGTAGTCCCCATGCTCCAGGCTCTGGCTCCCGGGAGATTGACATTACCCTGAGGAACCAGGCTCTTCCTGTAAAATGCTGTGGGGGCATGACTGCTGACATACAGGAATGTATTGTGTAATGAAGAGAGGGGTTGAAAAGTAACACTGAGGTTCAAATCTGCAAAAAAAAAAAAAAAGTAGTTTTTTTGTTCTTTAAAAC